GCTGTTGTAAACGCTGACTAATCCTGGGCTTCTCCGTCGGCGAGCTCGTCATGCGTCTGAGGGGCCGCAGGGGCCAGAAAGGGCCCGGCCTGATCGACAGCCTCACAAATAAGTGCTTTTAAAACACTTCATCTGGAAATGTTAAGTGTTCCTCTCTTGCGCGCAGCATAAATCAGAACCGTCTGAAGCCGCGGTGGGAAATTGAAGTCTTTGGGCTTGTTATTTGCAGTAATGGCTGTTCATTATATGTGTATTCGTTGTCTTTCTTGCAGGAATATGTCAATGATTTTTTTTGCTGTAACACATTTCAAGTATTACAACTACACTGTAAATAATTACCTGTAGAATATACAGTAACTTACTGACAGGAGTTATAATCTACTGTAAATAAATTACATCAAATTTACTCTATTTATATTTAAAGCACAATTTTTCTCATTGTATATGTATTTGCAGTATTGTGCAGTATCTTTACTGTAAAATAGCCTACATTTTCACAAGGCAACTTTAAAATACAGTAACATACTGCATAACTGCCCTAAAGTAAAATACAGTTCATATTGCAGTAAGTACTATGCAATTTACAAAAATTGTTAACAGCGTTATAGTCGCGTGAATTTAAATTTTGCTCTTCTTATTTTAATATTTATATAGTAATGTATCTGTGTATCTTCATTGTTTTGTTACAATTCATCTGCCCTGATAATCACTTAACTTCTGGTCACATGCATGCCTTGGTCACAGTGGTGGAGCTATCAGTCATTTAGGGTGGGGCTATCAGGGTGTGTCAAGTTTCTGCTCTGATTTCATCCATTCGTCAGTCTTCTTTCATTTTGTTAGCAACACCCATCTTTTAATGATCCAGTCAGTTCCAAATGGGCGACATCACACACCGCCTCCTTTTTTAATTTTTTTTCAGAACCATTTTAAATTGGATGCACATCATGAGATGGCAAAAAAAAAGGATTTCCATTTCATGGCAACTTTAATAAGAATTGCTGTATGAATAGTACAAGAATAAGTCCAACTTATGGACTATTTTGACTGTTAAATGAATTGAATTGATTTACGAATTCGATCAATTTTAGTATTTATTCGTGGTCTTTTCTGTTGTTGTACAGATCCAGCTGAATTTTGAGGAAATATAACCATTTTACGTATTGCCAGAAAAGAAACTAATTTATAGAAAAAATATCAATTGAGGGATGAGAAAATTGTGTTAAAATATACACTGTAAAAAAATATCGTAATTTACCAGAAATTTAAATTTAAGTAAATTTCTGTAATTTAATGTTTGTTATTTAACAGTAAATTTCTGTAATTTAACAACCGTAATTTTACATTTTTTTCTGGTACACCAGCTTTTTTTAACGGTGTACATTTATACGACTACATCAACTAGTTGCGAATTGCCATGAGATTGCATTGAGAGGTCTGTTGTACCAGCCTGATCTGACGAGAAAACGTAAGTATTTTATGCTTTGCCAGTTTAGTGGCTAATTCGTACAAATTTGTACGAGTTCAGTTGTACGAAATTGTACGTTTGTAAAAGGAAGGTGTGGCACCAAACCCCACCTCAAACCCAACTGTCATTGGGGGATGAGCAAATCGTACTAAATTGTACAAATTAGATTGTACAAATTTATACGAATTAGCCACTAAATCAAAAAGTTATGAATTGCCGTGAGATTATGTTGGTTTTACACTGAAAAAAAAAATCATTGGATTTACAATTTTTTTTTAAACTAAGTGGTTGCAAACAATTTTTATGGGTTTAATTTAAACAAGCACATTTAATTTAGTAATGTTCATCTTCATTTGTTTGTTTAAACACAGCCCATATAAATTGTTTGCAACCTTTAATACATTTTTTGTAAATTCAATAAATCTTTTTTTCAATGTGCAAGGATTATAATGATACTGTTTTGAACATGTTTGACACTTTTGTATGAATAATATTGTGATCATTGCATTTGTCTTACCAATTTGTGGTCTTCCAACACAATCTCACGGCAATTCGTAACTTTTTGAATTATTGGCTAATTCGTATAAATTCTAATTTTTAAAAAATCGAATGTTCGAATTCATACGAATTAGCTGCTAAACTGACAAAATGTAAAATAGTTACGTTTCCTCATGAGATCATGCTGGGTCTTCTCAGCAATAAACTGTTGCATGCTTATTTTTTGACCCGCGATGCAGTGTTGCCTGATATTGCTATAAAAACAAACTGAAGCATTTCTTGCAAATTCTTGTATTTCGCAAATTGGATACATAATTGCTATCTTCATTAAAGGAACACTCCACTTTTTTTTTTTTAAATAGTCTAACTTTACAACTCTCCTAAATTAACAGTTGAGTATTTTCCATTTTGAATTTAATCGCCAGGTCCATTAGGGTCTCCCTCAAAAATGACCAAAATGTTTTAATAATTTTCCTATTCAAAGCTTGACCCCTCTGTTACATTATTTAATATAACCAACGGATAGGAACAATACTGTCATTGCGGCATAATAATCAAGGAACATTAATGCTGTGCCATGGATGAAGCAGGCGCAATGATATTATGCAGTTCATCAAAATAGTCTTATAAATGTTCTCCCTGTTCTCACCCTACTCAAATTCAAGAGTAAGGTTAGTGGGTATGTTTTTTCAGCCTAACTCTCCAGATGTATCTTACTTCCCTTTATAAATGCTACCTCCTGTGACCTGTCTTCCCCTGAAAATTGTGATGTTTGTGTACGGTTGGGGGGTTCAATTTCACTATACGAAAGTGTATGTGACAAATAAAGGCCTGATTTGATTTTGATTAGTCCCCATATTGGTGAACTCTTTCAATGAGACTGGCACATATCTTTGCATATGTGAGATGCTAATGGTCTAATAAGATTCAATGGTTTATGCTAAGCTAAGCTAAAAGTGCTTCCGCCAGACCCAGGGATAGGCTATATGGATTAAAAAATGGTAAAAACGCAACTGTTTAACTCTACAGGACTCTTAAATGAGCCTATTAAAAAGTGGAGGGTTCCTTTAACACTGCTACATTAGGTATTAAAAACAAATTTAACAGCACAACGCTTGACACCACTCCTTTCATTGAACTATCTAAGAAAAAATTTGTGTGAAAAAATATAATTTGATAAATAAAATAAATAAACAAGAATAAATTTGTTACAAATTTTACATATACAGTATACACAGTGAAACTGAGTGGGAGGCATGTGATTCAGAATAGTTTTGTGTTTACATGTGTTCAACAAATTCAGATCTGTGTCAGATGGGACCAAAAAAAATCAGTTTTTGTGCAAATGTAAATGCAGTCTAAATATGCATGCAGGACTGACACTTGATGTTGCGCCTCCGTAGATGGAGATGTGCAGTATGTGTGAGTGCGTGTACAGGATTTGTAACAGGATTCTGCCTGTTTGCATTTGTTTAAGGGGACGACCAAAATTCTACAAAAATGTCCCCAAAGGAATATGACAACATGACAAAAACCTCCTTCTGGTGATGTTGACACAATAATAACATGCTCGTGAAATGACTGGATGTGTATTGTGGGGTTTGGCTAAGTGTGTAAGATCTATTTTGAGAAAATATGAGCAGTGCAAGTATTAGCAATGCTTGGTAATCTGTTGATAAGGCCTGTTAAAGGGCCATGAACATTCCCCCCATACCCCCAACCCACAACCCTCACCTCCCCCTCCCCCCATTAATAAAAAAGTAAATAATAAATATACAAATTAAATAAAGAATAAAACAAAATTTCAATAGTAAAATATACAAAGTCAAAATAATACATAAAGGTAAATGTAAAATGAAAATGTAAATTGTTAATTTGTTAAAATAAACTTTGAATAAATTAATAAATGTAATTATAAAAGAACAGATACATTTATTTAAATGATGTACACATAAGTAGACGTGTTTCTGTTTATATAAGTACATTCATTCATTTTCTTTTTGGCTTAGTCCCTTTAATAATCAGGGGTTGCCACAGCGGAATGAACCGCCAACTTATCCAACATATGTTTTACGCAGTGGATGCCCTTCCAGCCACAACCCAACACAGGGAAACACCCATACACAGTCCTTCACAAACATGCACTACGGCCAATTAAGTTTATTCAGTTCACCTGTACCGCATGTCTTTGGACTGTGGGAGAAACCGGAGCACCCGGAGGAAACCCACGCCAATACGGGGAGAACATGCAAACTCCACACAGAAATGCCAGCTGACCCAGCTAGGGCTTAAACCAACAACCTTCTTGCAGTGAGGCGATCGTGCTATCCATTGAACCACCATGACCTCCTATATAAGTACAATACATATAAATAGAAAGCCACCACAGGAGTAAATATACAGTATAAGCTTAAGTTTGCGCGCGTGTGTGTGTGGTTCTCACCAATCTTGATTTGCGGCATCCCCAGGGTCATGTGATACAAACAGACTTAATGCTATTGCAACTCATGTCTTGTTCCTGACCCTGAAACGTGTGGATTGACAGTTTAATAAATGTGTATATCACAACAAATCACAACCTATTCAGATCTGTGAAAGCTCATTCATCATCTTAGTGCCTTATTTATCAGGGGTCGCCACAGTGGAATGAACCGCCAACTTTTCCGGCATATGTTTTATGCAGCGGATGCCCTTCCAGCTGCAATCCATCACTGATAAACACCCATACACTCTCACATGCACACACATACTGTACACTACGGCCAATTTAGTTTATTCAATTCACTTATAGTGCATGTGTTTGGACTGTGGGGGAAACCTGAAGCACCCAGAGAAAACCAACACAAACATGGGGAGAACATGCAAACTTCCTGTAAAAATTCAGTAAATCAAAACCAAAGAAATACCATATGATCTCTGCAATTTAATTATACGTGGTGCTGTTAATTAGGTATATCAATAAAATTATGCTTAGATTAGCTGCTCAAAACAATCAGATGTGTTAATGTGTGTGTGTGTGTGTTTGTGTGTGTTGCAGGTTATGATGACATTGAGACGTCCCCATATGAAGACATTGAACTGGAACTTGTGAGAAACACTGAAACATCAAAACTGGCCTCCATAGTTTCAGGTATTTCAGCCTGCGATACAATGTTTCCCTTCACACCTGAATGCACTGTGATGACGGACGGAGTGTATCGCTGTATGTTTGCGCTTAATAGTCTTTTCCTTGTTGTCTTGCTGTTGTATTTCTGTGGGAGAAATAAATCTAAAAAGTATGTATGACAGTGTCTGAAGGTTTTCAGACCAGGGTAAGAAATTAAAGGGATAGTTCACTATATATATATATATATATATATATATATATATATATATATATATATATATATATATATATATATATACATACAGTTAAAGTCTGAATTATTAACCCCCTTTTGAATTTTTTTTCTTTTTTCAATATTTCTCAAATGATTTTTAACAGAGCAAGGGAATTTTCACAGTATGTCTGATAATGTTTTTTTTTTTCTTCTGGAGAAAGTCTTATTTGTTTTATTTCAGCTAGAATAAAAGCAGTTTTTAATAATAATAAAAAAAAATTATCAGCTCCTTGGAGCTATATTAATTTTCAGATAGTCTACAGAACAAACCATCAGTATACAATGACTTGCCTAATTACCCTAAACAGCCTAGTTAACCTAATTAACCTAGTTAAGCCTTTTAATATCACTTTAAGCTGTATAGAAGTGTCTTGAAAAAAATATAATAAAGTATTATTAACTGTCATCATAGCAGAGAAAATAAAGAAATTAGTTAATACTAATTGTGGAAAAAAATTTCAGGGGGGCTAATAATTCTGATTTATATATATATATATATATATATATATATATATATATATATATATATAAAAATAATATTTTACAGTGTGTGAAGAGTGGGAGAAGAGGATTGCATTGGCAATCCAACACAATGGGCAGCACATCGAACACATTTTATAAGTGGTCATAAACTTGTAAACAACTTGTAAAACCAAGAACACCATTGTTTTTCTTGTGAAATTTCCAATAAGTTTGATGTGTCAAATGACCCTCTTACTATTGAAAAAACAATAGTTGGCTCAAAGATGGCTGACTTCAAAATGGCCACCATGGTCACCACCCATCTTGAAAAGTTTGCCCCCTCACATATACTAATGTGTCACAAACAGGATGTAAATATCACCAACCATTGCCATTTTATTAAGGTGAATCCATATAAATGCCCCACCCTGTATGTATGTATGTATGTATGTGTGTATATACACACACACACACACACACACACACACACACACACACACACACACACACACACACACACACACACACATATATATATATGTGTGTGTATATATAATTAGGTACATAATTGTATATATAATTAGGTACATAATTAGGTACACCTCACTAGTACCGGGTTGGCTTAGATTCAACAAGTTACTGGAACTAGCCCATATATGTAGGCCAGTTGGACAAAAAACAAGTCAACTCCACCTACAAATACAAGGTCACATATAAACCAAATGAATGCAGATGTCATGCTGTATAGAGTAACTATACTAAATTATTTGATTCTATCTTCATCAAAACAGGTTTTTCAGGGAGGGCAGTCAGATTTTAGATACAACACTTGATTGAAAGTGTCTCTTTCTCTTTTCCAGTGTCGTCCCTTCCACTGACGGATCAGAACCAGTGTCTGAAAGCCGCTCAGGACTGTGGGCTGTATGAGAAGTGTGGCTCCCTGCGCTCTGAATACGCTTCAGCTTGCACTAAGATCTTACCCAACACAAACCACTGTAACCGACACAAATGTCACCGAGCCCTGCGGAGGTTCCTGGAGCGCGTTCCTGAGGAATACAGTTTTGGTGTCTTATTTTGCCCCTGCTCGGATACTCTGTGTGGAGAGAGAAGGAGAAAAACCATTGTGCCCTCCTGTTCCTACGAGGAGCGAGACGGACAACCAAACTGCCTTCATTTGGAGAGCTACTGCCTCAAAGACAACCTGTGCAGGTCAGAAAATCTGCCTCCTAGCAGTTGTGCTCTATTTTATTTCATTTTGTTTTATTTTATTTTATTTTATTTTATTTTATTTTATTTTATTTTATTTTATTTTATTTTATGTACTTTTTATTTTATTTATTTATTTTATTTTATTTTATTATTTATTGTTTATTTATTTCATCATTTCAAATTAAATTTTGTTGTATTTTAATGTAATTTTTTATCTATTTATTTTGTTTTATTATTTATGAATTTTTTTATTTCATTGTTTACTATTTTATTTTATTGGAATTTATTTATTTATTTAATTGCATTTTTGTTTTATTTTTTTATTTATTTTATTTTATAGTAATTTAATATTGTAACTTATTTTATTTGTTTAATCATATTATTTGTTTATTTTATTATTTAATATTTTATTTTATTGTAATTTAAAGTCATTTTTTAAATTCATTTATTTACTTATTTAATTTTATTATTTATTTATTATTTAACATTTTATTGTAATTTATTTATTTATTTAATTTTATTATTTATTTATATTATTTTTTATTGTTTTATTTTATTGTAATTTATTGTAATTCTTATTTTATTTATTTATTTAATTTCAATATTTATTTATTTAATATTTTATTTTCTTGAAACTTAAAGTTATGTACATGTACATAGACAATTTTTGCTTTTATAACTTGTATTATACAGACATTATACTGTACATTTTAATATGCTTCATAACATAGTACATGTGCCAGTATATTGTTAAAACAACGATTGCAACATTGTTGTAGACTATACATATTGCAAATCCCTATTTTAAACATTTCCTGTGCATCAAATAATTATACTAGAATGATTTCTGAAGGATCATGTGACACTGAAGACTGGAGCTTAAATTGTTATATTATTTTAATTGATCACAGTTTTTAATGTATTTTTATAAAAAAAAATGCAGGTTTGGTTAGCATTTAAAGAGATATTTCAACAACATTATTATTTTTTCAAATATATATGTATATATATATATATATATATATATATATATATATATATATATATATATATATATATATATATATGAGAAGGATGAAATTCGTATTGTAGCTTTAGTTTTAATAAAAAGGGTGCATTTATTTTTAGTAGTTAAAGTAAGTAAGAATAAAATAAACAGATATAAAATAAGATATATGAGTGTAATGTGAAGGGAGGCTGGGCAATGGGGTTGAGGATCCAAATACAGATTTATTCAACAGAATAAACAGAACAACAAAACAAAGCGAAGGTCAAACACGGCAAGACAAGGCAAAGAAAACGTGTCACAATGTTTATGGTACAGTTTAACAAGACTCAGCAACTGGTGTGTGTGTGTGTGTGCGTCAGTGCTGCTTTTAAAGTCCATGTAATCAGTTCTGAACAGCTTTAGCTGTGTGTGTTAGTAATCAGCGGAAAACCGGAACAGGTGTGAGTGTGTGGTGCATGACAGGATTTGTACTCCTGAGTAAAAGTGAATGATTCCCTGTGATCTACAAGCCATTTACTTGACACATTTATATATATATATATATATATATTTTAATTTTAGGTGGTTTGTGTAATGTGATTTATGTTTGATAAAATAATTTCTAAGAGCACCTTTAGTCCTTTTCAACTGATTACACTGTCTTGTCCCAATAGGTGGATTTAGAGGTTTTTGCAAAAATAGGCACGAGTGAATTTAGCTGGTTTTGACGCAAAAGAAAATTTACCTTGTTAAAAACCAAAGAATTATCTAAAGTGACATTAAAAAAAAAAGGTATTTTATGTACCAGCTAATAACCTTATTGTTACATATATACATGATATAAAGGGATTTAGAGAGTTTTGCATCTGAACTCTTCATATATATATATATATATATATATATATATATATATATATATATATATATATGAAAAGTGTAGCTTTGGTTTTAATAAAAAAAAGTACATTTATTTTTAGAGGTTGTAATAAGTAGTAATTACAATAAAATGTAATATTTAAATGTTTTTATTTTATAAAAATAAAATAAAATCAGCCCTGTGGGATTATTATTTTTTTTGAATGATTAAAAAAAAGATGCTCCTGCAGAATGTCAGAGCTGACGTGATGATAAAAAGATCTGCTGAATCAGTATTTTGAATCTGTTCTTTGAAATCAACTGCCAATTTGTGTAAGTGATTCTGAAATATCGCGCAGCCGTCAGATGCTCTACCACTCATTCAAACCAGACAAACTCCAGCTTTGATAACAGCGCAGCATGATAATTTCCACCTTTCTTCGCAAAGTACAAGGCTTTCCTTTTATCTTCCTCTAGAAACAGATGTCTCTGGCAGTAATGCTTATCTAAGCATCATTAATAGCACAGAACATGCTGAGTTGGATGGAAGAAGGGACAACAGGTCATGTATTATACGATTAGACACGTCGACTGTGTATTTAAACAAGGATAAAACAAGGATATGTTTGCAGAACAGAGACACTAACCTTTAACACGGACACATTGTAGTTAGCGTGGGTCATTTTCTCAAAAGAGGCAGATCTTAATACATTTACAACAAAAACCAAATTAGGGTTGCTGGTGTCATTAATAACCGGAATTTCTACATCTACATAGACTCACTGTAGAATACAGAAAATGTGTTATTAGCAGCTTTCTAAATGATACTTGAATTGGTATTTATTTACAGTAGTTGACTCAAACTAGTCTCCAATTTTAAAATGATATTAATACTGCCTGCATTTGAGTTTATTAATCCAGTAAACTACTAGCCATTTGAATGTTGGTCTAATAGATAGAGGAAATAGATACATGGGCATAGAGAATTGAAAAGAACTCCCTAAAAAAAACATAGTCTTTTCAATTTCAAAAACAAGCGAAAACGACAACATAGTTTACCTTGATTTTATATTGCTTTCACATCTGCAAACTGACCGTGCCAGAAAAGTTTTCCATGTGGATAAGCAGTAGATAGGTGAGGCCAAAGTATTTGAATACAAATCACAGATGTTGTAAAGTTGTTGGGTGGTATTTAATTAAAATAATCCTTTATTCGTGAATAATAGGTAAATGTCATTATTGTGAAAAGGAACAAAAGTTGTTGGCTTTGCACTGCCACACAGCATTTAATTTACTTAAAAAAACACAGTTTCATAAAAAGTACATATTCCCACTGAGCCTGTGTTCCATCCATCCATGCATCCAACCATACATGCATCCATCCATCACTCCATCCATCCATCACTCCTTCCAACCAACCAAATAATTAACCAAACAACTAACCATCCATCCATCCATCCATCCATCCATCCATCCATCCATCCATCCATCCATCCAACCAACCAACCAACCAACCAACCAACCAACCAACCCACCCACCCATCCACTCACCCACCCGTCTGTCCGTCCGTCCAACCAACCAACCAACCAACCAACCAACCAACCAACCAACCAACCAACCAACCAACCAACCCACCCACCCATCCACTCACCCACCCACCCGTCTGTCCGTCCGTCCGTCCGTCCAACCAACCAACCAACCAACCAACCAACCAACCAACCAACCAACCAACCAACCAACCAACCAACCAACCAACCCACCCACCCATCCACTCACCCGTTCGTCCGTCCGTCCAACCAACCAACCATACATAGCATTTATTTTACTTAGAAAACGCTGTCAAACGTTTGTTGAATTGCGTTTTTGCCAGTCATCAAAAAGTACATAATGTTCCTGTTCCATCTATTCATGCATCCAACCATACATGCATCCATCCATCACTTCTTCCAACCAACCAAATAACCATCCATCCATCCATCCATCCAACCAACCAACCAACCAACCAACCAACCAACCAACCAACCAACCAACCAACCAACCAACCAACCAACCAACCAACCAACCAACCAACCAACCAACCAACCAACCATCCAACCATCCAAACCCATGAGCAAGGGTTTTACAGTCGGTTCTGCATTATTTCAGACGCTGCAAGTTGAAAAACATAGTGCCAATTAGGGCCTACTTACACTATGCCATCCGTACTGTGCCCAGGCCCGTTTCCCGGATCATTTGAAAAGTGTGAGTGCGCTAAATCGGGCTTAAGCACGGTTCACTTGGCCGGCCCTGGCCCGGTTGGAAGAGGTGTGCCTGAGCGCCTGAGCGCCAAAGCAAAAACTGAAAGAGACACATGACTTTTAAGGGACTGTTTCATATGGATTTATTAATCATTCTTACTGTTTAGTGAACGCAAACTGCCGTAGTTTATTAAATACGCAAACTCCTCACAGCACGACAGCTGCCCACCTTCAGCAAACCTCCTCATTCCTGCAGCATGAGGGCTTTATGATTGTTTATGAGTGCCAAAAGTGGCGGATCTGTTCGGCGAAATATCTGACTGCGTGTCACCGCATATCAAACAACTGAAACGATATAACTAGAGAAATCTCCACTGTGCTGAGTGAGAGAGCGCTTCTCACTGAACAGCGCAGCAGCGATGACGTAAGCGTGCCGAGGCCCGATTGTGGTGTGTGAGTGCGGGCCGTCGGGGGAGAAGAGAGGGGGGACAAGCGTGCTTTGGCCCGGTTCGAGGCAGCTGTACCTATTGTGAGTACGGCCTTAGTGTCAATTTTGAGCTATTCGTCCAATCACAGTGAAGGAGTGGCAGGACAATATTATGCAACTCTCAGCAGAAAAATCAGCTAAAGACTTTCAACTTGTTCTGCAGTGGAAATAAGCTGTTTCATAACATCCCACTGAAAAAACCCCAGCCCTTAAGGGTGTCGCGCAGCGGATGTGCCGCTCAACGCTGTAACACGGTGCACACATGATAGATGAAAGTCTCGCACCACAAGACACGCACATTCGAGTGTTATTTAAAATGTTTCTAAAATAAATTTGTGGCGTCGTGTGATGCATCCGGTGTGTGACCCCCCCCCTAAGGATTCATTCACACCAAACGCATCTTTGTTTTTTAAAACGCGAGGGTTTAAAAAA